GGCATCCACAGCAAGGGGTCCAGGGGCTTGTCCTATGGGGAGCGGGGACTGCTCTGCTTGGAGAAGGGTCCAGGGCCCGCTGCAATCCTCACAGGTCCTGGGGAAGAGGATACACCTGTTTCATCTCTTCTCAGGGGTCAGAACTGGGCAGTGGGATGGAAGGAGGGAGACAGATGTCTGTCAGGCGTCCGCTCCGTGCCAGCCCCTTTTCTAGGCTCCCTTAAAACCTATCACGTAGACAGATGGTGGTAGAGCAGGAAACCTGGGCTCAGAGGCTGGCATTGACCCCAGGGCCATCCAGTGTCAAAGCCCACACCCACAGCTTTCCTCCTGGTTGAGCAGTGCGTGTTGGAACGGCTGTCACAGCAAGCAGTGAGTTTACTTTCACCAATCCCTGGAGGTGGAAGCAGAGCCTGAGGTGAACACTTGGAAGGGGATGTTATTCAGGGAACTCCAGCATCTGGCTTAGGATGGGACTCAATGAGGTCTAAGGCCCCTTCTAGCTCCAAAACCCTTGGGGGAAGTCATTTCCTGATCTCTACGCTGACGCGGTCCCTTCTAAGCCCTGGCACACCTTCTGCTCTCTCCCCAGGTGTTGTGCGCCAGGTGAGGCCCATCATAGGCCCGTTTCATGCCGTCCTGAAGCTGGAGATGAACTATGTGGTTGGGGGCGTGGTCTCCCACCGAAACGTTGTCAACGTCCACATCTTCGTCTCTGAGTACTGGTTCTGAGGACCGGTCTGCAGCGCAGCCATGGGCGCACCTCCAGGCCAAATCATTGCTGCCAACGACTGTCCCATGTACTTGTTTGTACCTTCAGACTTCCTTAATGTTATGTATTTGTTTGTAGCATTAGGCCAACATGTATTAAGCTGAGCCAGATGAGTAAGTCCATCTGATGTATTTTTGGTGTTTAAAAAATGAGTCCAATTGCTCAACTGTTTGGTTGAAAACCTTGCTCATTTTTCAATGCAAAGGCTAAGTGTTACTCCCTTTCTCTGCCTTTAGTCTGGGCCTTGCTAAGGGCCAAGGAAAGAAAAACATTTTTTAAGGGGCAGCCAGTCCAAAAGCCAAAAGAAGGCCAGTTCTTGCCCTGATTGTATGAAATTTGACATTTTGGTACTTTTTTTTTTTTTTTTTTTTTTTTCCAATCAGATGTTCAATGATGTAAGGACACGGCCGATGTAGAATAGCACAGAATTGGATGATAAATTCTCCCGAGAAGGCATGACAGAATGCCTCGGGGAGCACTTGGAAGGGAAATTGCAGTTCTGTTGAAACACAGGAAAATCCCTTAGTAAAGACACAGCCTGTTAGGGCCTGGTGGGGCCCCAGTGTGTTCACTGGGGGAATGGCTGGGTTTCTCTGCACTCTGCGTCATCCAACTTTTCTTATAGGTGGGAAAATAAACAACTTCGTGATCCTCCTGATGGTCTGTGCATGAGAGTCATTCAAGAACAGGGCTCTCTGCCAGCTCAGGAGTTCCACCTAAGGGACTGGAGATCTGCCCCGCTTCCCCCTGCCTCCCCCCGCCCAAGGATGTCTCAACACTCCTCCTGCCCCGCCAGGTTCTGGGGTGGGGCCTAGCTTGTGTATTGGAACAGCTTCCTACACACGTTGGTTTCAACTCCATGCCCACCCTCTGAGAAGTGTGGCTCAGATTTGTCCCATGTGCCATGACTAGTCCTGCCAAGCTCGCCCCAGGGCTCTGGCTTCTGTGACTTGCTTCCAGTAGCATCCCTTGTGGCATGTGAATCTCTCTAGCCATCTCTAGAGGGAGGTAGTGACCCTTCAGCAGCCATGAGTCCCTGCTAGACACAGGCCTGGGCCAGGTGTGTCATAGGTAGTACTTCACTCATTCCTCCTGGTGGCCCCGTGAGGTGGGTATGGCACAAAATCTTGAGATGGGCTCACTGGGCTCAGAGAGAGGAACCCAGCTGCCAAAATTCATACATTTGAGAGACAAAGAGGGAATTGAAATTCCATTTATCTGAATTTAAGCCCTCCCTAAACTCTTATGTCAGCCATAGACGTAGACAGATTGAATTTATTGGGGGACCAACACCCCAATTGGCATCAGTGGCGGGGCTGGGAGCTCCCAGTGCCCCAGGGCCCAGTTGGGCCGCCAGGGACTCAGCATCCAGGCTCTGTTTCCACACGTGCCTCTCCTCCAAATCCTTCCCATCTCCTTAGGTATGGACCCCGTTCATGGTTCAGAAGCTCTCATCCCATGCCTCATTCTGCAGCCTGGACCCTAGCACTGGCTGAGATCTCAGCCCCACACTCAAGCCACTTCCACTCCAGCTCTCAAGAACTTGGTCTCTGCCACCTTTGGGAAAACCTTTCCAAGGTCACTTATTTGGGTCACTGGTCCGTCAAAGCCAAGTCTGGGCCAGCCAGGTACAAGGCCTGCTGGAGCGTTGGCCGCTGGAGCTGGTGAGAAAGAAGAGGCCGGATGTGGGGCTGGATGGTCCTAGGAGCCACATCCTGAGACCAGACAGGTGCAGGGAACATCCACACAGCTCTTCATGCCAGGGAATTAGTGAAGTAGGGTCCTGGCAGGGAAGCAGGGCAGGGGGCTGCATGCAAGAATGGAAGGAAGCCTCAGGGCGAGGGGCAGGAAACAGAAAGGGACACATGGGGGAGGCACTGCTGCCCACTTGCAGTCTTGGGGGCAAATCTGCCAGAGCCAGGCCATTCTGGGCTCAGCAAAGGTTTTTGGGACCCTTCTTCCTTAGCGTCGGGTGGGAAGACGGAGGTGCAGGCTGTTTTGGGAAAGGATCTTCCCATGCTCCTAACAGAAGTTAGGGCAGGCCGGGCGTGGTGGCTCACACCTGTAATCCCAGCACTTTGGGAGGCCAAGGTGGGTAGATCATGAGGTCAGGAGTTCAAGACCAGCCTGGCCAGGATGGTGAAACCCCGTCTCTACTAAAAATACAAAAATTAGCCTGGTGTGTTAACGGGCGCCTGTAATCCCAGCTCCTCGTGAGGCTGAGGCAGGAGACTCTCTTGAACCCAGGAGGCAGAGCTTGCATTAAGCTGAGATCCACACCAGCCTGGGCACTAGAGTGAGACTCTGTCTCAAAATAAAAAAAAAAAAAGAGGGCAGCGGCCACTGGGTGTGGTGGGGGCGCGGGGAGCAGAGCCAAGTGTCCTGCTGCTGACTGGCTCTTGAATAAGCACATGATCTGAGCTGTCCAATCAGAGCCCCGCCTATGAAGGGGTGTCCCTCCGGAGCAGAAGGTGGCAGGAGGGGCCCACAGGTAGGTGGTGAGGGCGCCAGGTTGAGGAGCCCAGGGCAAGAGAGGAAGTCCTGACCCTGTCTGGTTCAGTCAGGGAGCCATGGCCAGACCTCTCTCTGCAGGGCTGGCAGGGCGAGTCACTGCCATCCTCCGAGCTTCAGTGTCTGCATCTGCAAAGGGGACAGTTCCAGATGGCATTTGGGAGCGCTGGAGAGCATGAATGCAAGACGGCTTTGTGCATTGCAACGTGCTGCATTCATGTGTGAGGTCTTGTTTTCATTGACCTTTAAAAGCAGCGACGACGGTGATGATGATCATGGTTGCCTCTGGCAATCCAGCCACGTAAATGCGCTCTGGAAGCTTGGCATCTTTTCAACCCAGCGTTTCTTTTTCTTTTATTTTCTTTTTTTCTTTTCTTTTTTCTTTTTTTTTTTGAGACGGAGTTTCGCTCTTGTTACCCAGGCTGGAGTGTAATGGCGCGATCTCGGCTCACCGCAACCTCCGCCTCCTGGGTTCAGGCAATTCTCCTGCCTCAGCCTCCTGAGTAGCTGGGATTACAGGCACGCACCACCATGCCCAGCTAATTTTTTTATATTTTTAGTAGAGACGGGGTTTCACCATGTTGACCAGGATGGTCTCGATCTCTTGACCTCGTGATCCACCCGCCTCGGCCTCCCAAAGTGCTGGGATTACAGGCTTGAGCCACCGCGCCCGGCTCTTTTTCTTAATCATCCTGGAGAGACTTGATAGACACTTGTGTAAATTACCCGCCAGTCTAACTCTTCATGTTTCATATCATGCTGTGGGTTGGGCACCTGATGGACCCGTAAGTATCTCATTATACTTGCAAAGTAATTACTGTCAGAGCCTAGCATCGGCAGCACTGAGGGACCCAGCTAATGGGAGCTGGAGGTGCCTCTGAGTTCTCCCACAACAGCGATTCCTTCTTAATTGTAGCCTTAGAACAAGAATAACTGAAGGGAATTGCTAAAGGCAAAGAGGTTTGTAAGCAGCAGGAGACAGCAAACACACAGAGATGCCAAGTTGAATCCTTGCTGACCTGGTAGAAGAAACTTGGAGGGAAGATTCCAGAAGGTCTCGTAGGGTGGTATTCTACCAGAAAGCTCCCTGGTTTTTTATTCCTAAAGGAAATCTATTCTTCTGTGTAGAGGAAGTCTGTGGCGTGTGTCAGAAGCGCCTGGGCCACCCAGGGTCCTAGCAGGACCCACTTTAACCTGTAGGTGGGCATTGAGTGGGGGGCGGGGGTGCCAGGCCCACCCAGCCAACTAGAACTCAGGGAGGTAAGCCAGCTTTTCCAAATTTTTCAAGTTTGTCTAGGTGAAAAAAAACCTGGGAATCAAGTTGGATTTTTTCCCTATTACTTTAGAATGAAAATTTTCAAATATACAGCAGAGTTGGAAGAATCTTACCGTGAGAACCAGGGCACCTTCCACCTAGTTCTGCCACTGATGTTTTATGAGATTGAGTTGCATTTTGAAGAAATGACAATATGATGATATAATAAATACAAATAATGTGTGTTTTGTAGGCTTGCGTTCAAATCCAGCCACTTCCTAGCTGTGTGGCTTTGGGCACATTGCTTAATGTCTCAGAGCTTTGGTTTTCTCTACAACAAAATGCAAATGAGGTCAGGTACTTCCCAGGAGGTACTGTAAGGTGAAAGGGGGTGATTACATAAAACAGTGCAAGAACTGCTGCATAGGAGGCCCCCACAAATAGTACTGTCATTACAACACACCCACAGGACAGTCTATTCAGTAAGACGCCACATTTTATCGGAGTCTCGTGTGGACAAGCAGTGAAACCTCAGAAGAATGTGTGAAAGGACAGCTGGAGGCACTTCCGTGTGACTTGGCTTCAGCAGCGGTGCTCTTCGCTGCCTTGGTCAGGGCCACCAGCTTCCGGAGGACACGTTTGCTCGTCTTTGGGCAGCTCGTGGCTGAGGCCACTGCCTGGACTTCAGCTGGGCCGTCACCCCAGGCCAGTTCAGCTCCATGTTCAAGACAGTTTGCATAGCTGTCCCCACCCTAGCTGTCCTCTGTCTACGTGGACAACGTCTGAGTGCCAGTGACAGTTCCTCATTTCCATTCACATTTCCCCACATGCGTGTCAAAGAGATGGGTGCCAAGAGGCCGTCATCTTCATCCTGGACACGGAACTCACTCTTGAAGGACTTCTGAAGTCTCAGAGAAGACACCGAGCCACCATAGAGCTTTTGAAATACGGCCTGTGAGGAGCACAATGACAGCCACCATTACTCCCAATAATCACATTACTTGTTGTGGGAGAAAGACCTACTATGTGCCAGGAAGGCTTCGGTAACCATCCCCAACACACACACACACACACACACACTTCCTCCTCAGCCCCTCTGCCATGCCCAGCTCAGGGCCTCTTCTCCCATGAGGATGCTGACCTCATCTCCTGAAATGACCCTGCCGTCCTGTCACTCCAGAACTTAGGCTGCCACCTGGTTCTCTCTGTGTGGTCTAGTATGCATCAACGATTCTCTGTGTGAATGTCTTTTCTCCCTCAAGATAGTAGATCTGTGATTATTACTCTATCTATCTATCTTTCTATCTATCTATCTATCTATTTGTCTGTCTGTCTGTCTGTCTATATTTTGTGTAGAGACAGGGTCTTGCTATGTTTCCCAGGCTGGTTCTAAATCCTGGCTTCAAGTGATCCTCCCACCTCAGCCTCACATGTATGAGCCACCATGCCCAGTCACCTGAACTGTGTTTTGTTTTGTTTTGATATGGAGTCTTGCTTTTTCACCCAGGCTGGAGTGCAGTAACTTGATCTCAGCTCACTGCAACCTCTGCCTCCTGGCTTCAAGAAATTCTCGTGCCTCAGCCTCCTGATTAGCTGGGGTTGCAGGTGGGCACCACCACGCCCAGCTAATTTTTTTTGTATTTTTTTAGTAGAGACGGGGTTTTGCCATGTTGGCCAGGTTGGTCTTGAGTTCCTGACCTCAGAGGATCCACCTGCCCCGGACTCCCAAAGTGCTGGGATTACAGGTGTGAGCCAACGCGTCTGGCCTGATCTCGGTCTCGAAGAGAGCAGCAGTTCATCTGTGGCCACTGCTCCCTGGGGACTTGCCAGAAGGGAGATGCAGGGCACAGGGAAATTACCCACCTCTATTAGACTTCTTCAGTGGCATTAAGTGTCCTCAGTGGCAGCATGCAGCACAGAAGCTGAGGTGTGGCTGCATTCCATTTGGAGAATTCCACTGTGATTCATGGTGTCCGCTGCAAGTTCAAGGTGTCACCATTTAATTATTAAACATCATGAGGCATTAGGAGGCTTGGGCACGCACTGATAAGTGATCCATTTCTAACAGCGCTGGTTTATTACTGTTTGTGGCAGCTCCTGCACGAATCGGTGTCCATTAACTAAGCAATGGTATTATAATTACACATTTAAATTATGCATGGGAAGGGTGTCAGTGGTAGAAGTCAGACTGCAGTGATTACTTTGAGTCATCAGACCTCCTGGATGTAGTCTCTCTGCAGACAGCTGTAACTCCGGCTTGTTTTCCGCTCCTTTTCTGCAGACGTGTAGAATCCACTGCTGGGGTCCACTGAGCTGTCTTCTGGGTGGTTTTCAGTGCTGCAGGAGATAAACACATGTGTCTTCCCGGTGGGACCCAGCGGATGCACTACCCTAAATCCCGTCCCTTGCCTGCCCTGAACTCCATGACTCCATGGCCTACTTCCTCATGGAAATTTGCTTGCTTTTTTTTTTTTGCGATGGAGTCTCACTCTGTTGCTCAGGCTGGAGTACAGTGGTGTGATCTCAGCTCACTGCAACCTCTGCCTCCTGGGGGTTCAAGCTATTCTCTCCCTCAGCCTCCCGTGTAGCTGGGATTATAGGCACCAGCCACCATGCCCGGCTAATTTTTGTATTTTTAGTAGAGTTGGGGTTTCACCATGTTAGGCTGGTCTCGAACTCCTGACCTCAAATGATCCATGGGCCTCAGCCTCCCAAAGTGCTGGGATTATAGGCATGAGCCACCACATCCAGCTGGATATTTGCTTCTTTAGAGGAAAGCACCGTTGATCCTACCTCCTTGATCTGGTTTGTAAGACGTTATACCCCCGATACTATCTGAAACCATCTTGTCTCATTCCTTCTGTCCCATCTTGTTCATTCATTTGTTCACTCATTCATTCACTCAGTTCACGCCCTCCCTCTGGTGAGTCAGTTCCCTTCTGCCCTCCCCAGTCTATCCAGTGTTCCTGTAGGCTGCCAGATCACTTTTCCAAAACTCCGGCAGGATGGAGGCCCTCTTGATCTCAGATCCTTCAAGGGCTGCCTTCCAGGGCTCCCGCACCAACCTCACGGTGTGGCTATGTGACATAATAAAAAATATACGCTTCTATTTAGTCTCTTTTCCGGTTCCTGACACAGAGCTCCTAATCCCTTGGAATCTCCTGGGTGATAGGAATGTCTTTTGTTCTAATGAGGTGACGCTCGTAGCTCTTGAGTGGGGTTGGGGGCTGAGCACCAGAAAGACGCAGCTAGGAGCCTGGAGCTTTCGGCCCCACCCCTACCCTCCAGGAAAGGGAGGGCGGGGCTGGAGATTGAGCTGATAATCCATCACACCTGTGTGATGTAGCCTCAACTACAGGACCCAGAGGGCTTCTGGGCTGGTGGACACCTCGCATGCTGGGACGGTGGCAATCCCAAACTCCATGGGCACAGAAGCTCCTGTGCTCGGGGCCCTCCCAGAGCTCGCCCTGTGTGCCATTTCGTCTGCCTGTTCATCTGTATCATCCATAATGTCCTTTACGGTAAACCTATACACCTAACTGAAGTGCTTCCCTGAGTTCTGTGAACCATTTTAGCCAATTACCAAACCTGAGGAGGGGGTTCTGTGGACCTCTGATGTGTAGCCAAGTCAGATGGACGTGTAGGTAACCTGAGCACCTGATCCATGCAACTGGCATCTGAAGTGGGAACAGTCTTGCAGGACGGAGACCATACCCTGAGGTCAAGAGATCGAGACCATCCTGGCGAAGATGGTGAAACCCCGTCTCTACTAAAACTATGAAAATTACCAGGCATGGTGGTGCAGGTCTGTAATCCCAGCTACTCAGGAGGCTGAAGCAGAAGAATTGCTTGTTTTCTACTCTGCATTGTGGAAACGCTCTCATCCCGCAGCCTATCTTGACAATTTGATGTTGCTCTTCTCAACCCAACCTGGATAATTGCATAATTAATTGTGCACAGGTAATTCACCCAGCCTGGATAATTGCATAATTAATTGTGCACGGGTAATTCACCCAGCCTGGATAATTGCATAATTAATTGTGCACCGGTAATTCACCCAGAGAAGGTGTTGGTGGAGGAGGCGTCCGACTCCCACTCTCCTGGAAGGGCACCAGGCTCCCTCTGTGCCAGATCCCGGCGCGGCGGAGCCCAGCAGCATGCACCAGGATTTTGGTGCGCATCTGACTGCAGGCACAGCTCCGTACCCGGAGCCTGGTGGTCCTTGCGGCTTGTTTGCTCTGCTGGGTCAAGTCGGAGGCTGTTCCTTGGAGCTGAGGCTCTGCCAGGGTGATTGAAGTGAAGATGCACCCTAGCCTCGAGGCTGGAAAGAGTCAGGGCTTTCGTTTGGGGTTTCAGCCATTCCCCCTGTTGGTTTCCTATGACATTTCTGGAAAGCGAGTGTCCCTTCCCTTTTCCCTACACCACCCTCCTTGGACCATAAAGCCGTGCACTGGCTCAGAGGTCCAAAGTGCCTGTGGCCTGGCTGGTTCCCTGAGCCTTGGGCTTGGTCACGATGCTGGAGAACGACCACAGCCCCAACCCTGGGGGGCGCCAGGGAGCCAGGCCACCGCTCAAAGGGCTGTCTTGGGCCCTGGTACCGCTGGACAGAGTACTGGGGTCCAGGAGAATGGTCCCCAAAGCCAGACTTGACTTTTTAACATCCCCCCGCTCCCAACATACATACACACACCCCACCAGCGTTCTTGACCACTGCCGCCTCCTCCGCCAGGGCAGGTTCCCAAGGCCCCTCCCCACTCTGCTGCCCACGGTCTGGGCAGGCACATCCGTGGGTCCTGGAGGGGTGGAGGGCAGTGGCTGGCCCAGGGTTGTTGGCTGGGGGTGTGAAAGAGCTACTCATGCCCACCGCCCATTACCTTCCATCTCCCTCCCTCTTACTTCTCGCTCTCTCTGCAGAAGTTTTGAGGACGAACACATGGTTTCTGCTGATGGACAGCTCACAAGCCTTCGCCTGTAATCCTGGGACCACCTTCGCATGTGGTGCAGAAGCCAAAGCTGCAGGGAAGTGTGGAGCCCCACACAGCCCTACACGGGCCTAAGTCGGCCCCAGCCGGGCTGGCTTTGAGAAGAATGTTAAGAAGTGGGACAGACAGGGGTGGGAGGTGCGGAGGGGGCCCTGGGAGGGGGAAGAGGTGGTGCCCCTTTTGGAGCTGAGAATGGGGGAGTGGCAGGGGGCACAAGGTCACAGAACTAGGCTGAGGAAGAAGGGGTTGCCTGGAGGGTGGGACCCAGAAGCTACGGAAATGTCACAGCAGAAATGGCCATCGAAATCCCCTCCTGAAGTCCTTGGTGGGGCAGCAGTGACGTTCTAACATCCTACATGGGAAATCTACACAGTTAGCAGAGCCAAATGTGACAGCGACACGAGCCAACCACTTTCAACCTGACATTTTACTGTCACATGAGACTGTATCTCCCGGGGTCCCACGCCCTGGCCACCTTGTCCCCCAGTGCCCGCCCGTTTAGGAATGAGTTATCCAAGTTAGTCTGTGGCATAGGCAGTGCTCCCGATCAATTCCTAAGAAGCAGCGACCTCTTCTGTATTTCTTCCACGCTGAGTCAGATAGACCCAGGAAGAAATCTTCAGATTCCTCAGAAAGCACTCTCTTGAATAGCCTTTCCTGTGTTACACAGCAGGTGCTTCATTCTTGCTCTAGGGAGCAGAGCCTGCCCCAGTGTGAAGAGTGGCTTTGCATACAAGAAACCATTTCTCCACTGTCTCTCCAGATTAGAGAGACCCCCAGCTGAAATTGCTTCCTCTGAGTCTTTGCTATTAGAAACCAATAAAACCCTTCCAGAAGCATCGCCCTGCAAACTTGAGCACCTCAACCCCCAAGCCCAGATCCCAGCAGAGAAAGCCTTTGGCATCCCGGGACCGAAAGCTAATGGCATTCGGTGGAGGAGAGTCTGCTCTGGCCTGGGCTGATGGTGACTTACTATTGAGGGCGTTTGTGTTTTGGGTGAACTAGAAGAAATCTATTCCAGCATAATTATTCCAACTGGGATTTAGGAGGACTGGGCATTCTCCACATTCCAGCCTTCTTCAGTTCCACGGGGTTCAGACGGGGTTTATTTTTTTCTTTCTGTGCCACAGACACTTGGCAGCGACGACTAACTTAGGGTAACACGAGAACGCTGACTAGGTCGGCCTGTGGCTTCCCTGCCAGCTTTCCTGTTTGTCATACGACAGTGAGACCAGTGCCAGCTCAGCAGGGCACTGAGAGCTTTGGGTGATCCTTGCAGCTGGATGTCAGGCCCAGCTTGGTGGGCTAAGCCCTGGAGAATGGGTACCTTGGGTGTTCCGTGAGAGGCATTGCAGGAATAGCGGTAGGAGTGAAAGGAGACAGGGCACAGAGCTCAGAGGTAGAAGCGCGGTCTGTTTCTAATACACGCGAAAAAGAAAGGCCATTTCTGGCTCATGTCTTTAATCCCAGCACTTTGAAAGGCCAAGGCGGGTGGACCACTGGAGTTTCTGAGTTTGAGACCAGCCTGGCCAACATGGCGAAACCTCGTCTCTACTAAAAATACCAAAATTAGCCGAGCTCGGTGGCACATGCCTGTAATGCCAGTGACTCGGGAGGCTGAGACAGGAGAATCTCTTGAACCCAGGAGACAGAGGTTGCAGAGAGCCGAGATGGCGCCACTGCACAACAGCCTGGGCGACAGAGCGAGACTCCATCTCAAAAAAAAAAAGAAAAAAAGAAAGAAAAGAAAGGTCACTTCCAACTGGAGGAGGGTGACCTCCGTTAGAGACACAGCTGCAACCTGGCGCTCCCCAGCACCAGACCGCACTGCCAGGTCGAGCCCATTACTACCATTTTGCAGAGGACAAAAGTGAGCGTCAGAAACTCAGCGACTCCCCCAGAGTAGGACACGGCCGAGCTGTTTCTCACCCTCCGGCCTCCTGTGTGCTCTTTCCCTTATAAGCAGAAAGAAGAGGAAAGCTCTGGCTTCAGCTCTCGATGGTGGAACCCATCTTCCCTCCTTGCAAACAACATTCAGTTCGACTTGGTGAATCTCTATTGAAAATGTATTATATGCAAATCCCTGGATGCATGAAATAAAATTTTAAAAAATCATATGCCGGGCCGG